GCTAAAAAAAAAAAAGATTTTGACTTATTCACAAAACTTTTAAGCAAACATAGTTTGATAGGTTGTCATTCGCCTCAGGATTGGAATTCCTATATTAAAATTATGAGTTGTTTCAAAATCACATCGCTAAGATTAATTTCTACTCATTCAGTGCAAAATCGATTTGTTTGTGTTAAAATTCATGTCAAGCATCATAAATTCATAAAGTTATTCAAGTCCCGACCCTCAATAGTCAAATATATCATTTATTCTCTTGTAAGATTCACGCCCCAAACTTATTGTTTAACTCTTTTCTCAAGGTATCATATAAGATTGAATTTATATACTAGTCCTCACCCTCTCTAGATTGGTTCGATCTTACTAATTGCAGCTTAACGTATCAATAAATGAAAATTTTCCTTATTTTTTATTGCTTCAACCCCCTAAAATCAATTAAGGGCTTGTTTGGTAGGGATATTGTTAATTGATTTTTTGACCGTTAGAGATAAAGTGGATCCTACCTGTAAAAGAAGAATTCAAAAATGATAGCTGAAATAGTGAAATAAAGATCAAAAATTGATTTTAATTGGATTAAGATCTATACCAAACAAGCACTAAGCTAATAATTCATTGTCAAATGTCTAATTCTCTAAAATAAGTGTTTGAGACTTAATCAAAACGTGAAACAATCTTTTAGTGTTTGTGTAGATATTTTTCTTTTCTCAGATCTTATGTGCGAACTTCTATACATTAAACTTTCTAAATAACCTATGTAGCAAACTTTTGGCCGATAATATTTTCACGATTTATAGCCTAATACATGGTTCCAAATATATTCCTCATAGTAGGCAAATTTATCTAACTCATACAAACACACAAAAGCAAAAAATAAAGATAAATAAAATATTTTTGAACTTTTTTATTTGCACTCGAACAAGCACTCAAAACTATAAAAATAGATAAAAACTCGATATTTTTTTTCATCCCCAAACTTGTAACAGACATAACCCAAAGTAACATACAAAAGTTAAAGGCAAAAAAGGAAACTTAGTACTCCTTTGGTATAAATCTACGGGTGTGTGGAGACTAGCATGAAAGTGGCAAATAACTTGCTTTGTATCTTCCCTTTTTTAATGTGTTTCAAGTGTCATGTTCCTTCAAAATAATTAGAAAATCAACGATAACGTGGAACACTTTATAATAAGCTCAAATACACCCTAAAGGGAAATATGGGGACGAAGATACCCTATACTACTAAAAGAAATAAAAATTACTAATCCTATATCTAAAAGCAAAATAAGTAAAAGGAAAAAAATTAGATTGCCTCCCAAAAAATGCTTTTTTATAGTCTTTGGTTTGACTTTGATATTTTGCATTTTGGAATTTTAAAGAAAGCCTTTGATGACTTGCTTAGTTTGCTTCTTTTGACTTTGATCCACATTTCGTTAATTCTCCAAATCTTGACCTTCCCTCCGTTAATGCGATATGACTTACATATTCCATTCGATTCAAAATCATCAAGCTTAATCACAAATTCAATTGTTGGATAATCGATGATGTTGAAAGAATGTGTGTTAATTTCACCAGCATTAATTGCCACTTCTTCGATTGGTTTCTTTGTAATTAGTTTATTATTTTCTATATGCTCTTCTTCAATAATTGATTTCCATCAAGTTGAATAGTTGGTTCATAGTCTAAATTCATGGGCAATAGTAATTCTTTCATTTCAACCTTTTCAAGTGGATTATATCCTTGCCTTTTATATTATCTATATGATTACAAAAGTGATAAATATTATTTTTAATATCTATTGCAAATATGATAATTTTGCTACGTTCTAAACTTGATGTAAGTTTTTCAACACTATAATAAGCAACTAATTATTTAATTGGTAACCAATCAATTAAATAATGCGAGGGTTATGCAAAATTAATCAAGAAACGCAAGAATTAAACTAACTATTAGTCTTGAATTTAAAATAAATAAAAAATAGGAATTATCTCATCCAATACAAAAAAGGGATCAAGCATAGAATGTTTTTAAATAAATTATAAGAAAAATAATGAAAAAATATCACTTAGATCATGAAAAAATAAAAAAGATGTTGATTTTCAAGTCCAAAATTGAATTATTCAATTTCTTGATTTAATTACCTTCAATTATTGTTAGGGTTTGATCTTCTCTCACAAAAGTAATGAATTGATAACTTGTTCGTGATGAATTTGATGATATTATTATGTATGAGAGGTACGAAAGAGTTTTTTTCATGTGTAGCCCTTGTTTTATATTTATAAGAGCCAATAAATAGGTAAAAATCGTGTTCAATTTGGGTTTGAAAAGAGTTTGAATCGCGAAAGAAAACTGCTAATTCGTCTGCGAAAATATCCTATGCGCACGTACAAGCATAACTCCCACTCTCACACCATTGAGCTAAATGACTCTCGGGTTGGTGAAAACACTATTGGTGCGTTCCAGTTTGAATTGCGATATATCTGAGCAGCTTTTGATATTTTTGTCATAACTTTCTTTCCCAATATCCGATTGAGGCGATTCATAGCGTGTTGGAAAGATAACTCAAAGGGATACAATTCTTCTAGTAATTACAATTTCTTCAATTCTAATGTTTGCTATCCGAAAATGGGTCTCAAGTTGAGGTTAAAAATCTGAAACATAACTTTTTTGGTTGGAAATTGATTTGAAAGAATACTCTGGCTATATTTAACTCCTTTGAGTTCAAATTGCATCCAATTGATCACATGTTATCTTTTATCATCATTTGACAATCCGAATCAACTACAGGACATTTACACTTTGGTCCTCGAACTTTAGATTTCTTTCATTTTTTCCTTTTAATTCATTTATTCCAATTCCATCAATTTGCCTCGAGTTTTACCTAATAAACAAAATTAATATATAATTAAGTCATAAGTCATCAAAATTTATTCCAATTAATCTTATTTAATGATCTAGATAAGTATAGAAAATATACTTATCAATACATATATTGAAGGCACATTTTTATCAGCTATTAAAATCATTAGGAAAGAAAAATTACTTTTATGGAAACCATTTAACATTATAATCTAACTGAGACATCTTGTAATCATAATTTTGAGTCCAGTTTCGCGATTTCCATGGAAACGTTTCTAGGGAAGATGATGTACAAAATTCCTTGTAGAAATACAATCTGGCATAAGAAATGCCACAACGAAATCCCTCGCATCCAGTATAGAATCAAATAAGGAAGGACACTGATCAAAATCTTAATAATTGCCTA